ATCTTGAATTAATTGCCTGGTAAAATTGCACAGATAGGGAATAAATAATCGTTTCTGCATCGGTCTACGCGATCGTGCCGCTTTTGCATCATATAAATACGCATGTCGCTCTACGCAAACTTGCTCTACTTTAATTTTAATATCGTTTCCATCGCCTTTTTTCCCGTCCCAATCTATGATACGTTTCTCCGTTTGGTGAAACGTGAAAGCGAACCAGCGGGTAAATTTATGACACGGTGTCACGAAACTTTACAACGAGTACGAACAATAGAAAGTTTCAGCGCCACGCGCGCATCTACCTACATACGAATCTATGTCGTATGTGTAATAACCGCATAATATACGCGCGTAATGTCTGATACGCGCAATAAATACGCGTAATATATGCAATATACGCGCGTGCGAGAGAGAGGCAGGAGAGAGAGAGGCAGAAGAGAGAGAGGCAGGGGAGAGAGAGAGAAAGAAAGAGAGAGAGAAAGGGGAGGGAGGGGGGAGAGAGAGAGAGAGAGAGGCAAGAGAGAGAGAGGCAGGGGAGAGAGAGAGAGAACATATAATATACGCGTCCGAAGATAAGATAATAATAAGTAACGCACACAGGCGCATATCTAGGCATATGACGCGTATATAATGTACTCGTGACACGCGTAACATATGCGTAAATATACGCGCTATGCATATGCATCGGGTCGCTCGCAGGCCCTAAGAATAGAGCCCTTCGATTTTCTTCGGCTATTCCAGCTCCTACCCTCGATACGGCCGCGTTACACGGGGTGTCCTTTAAATATGAACGAAGAGCGAAGTTATACGCGTTGCTGGCGTTTACCAGGTCGTAAACAACACTTTCGCGTTCGTAAATCGCGAGGGACGATCCTCCCCGAAGGGAATTCGAAGCCGTTAAAATCTCTCGCGCGTTTAGCTTCACGATCGTAACGTTCTCGATAGAGATTTCCTCGATAGAGACGTGTTTTTCTCAAACTAAATTAAACGATTAAGAGGAGATTATACCGGGGACGTGGGGACGTGATAGTTTTAAAATAACAAGAGGGTGAGCGACGTGGACGTAGGGCATGATAGACGACACAGGTAGTCTCTACTTAGACTCAAGGGCGGATCTGAAAAGTTTTCAAGGATGTCTTTTCACTGTTGAGAAAGATAAAGACTTGAAAAATCTCCAACTTATTCGCAAACATAAATTTAGCAACCGTGCATCGTTCCTAAAAATTACGTTCTTTAATTTTGTTTAACTCAATTAATCGTAAAAAAATCAAGAAATCTTGAGAGAGTAATTAATTTGTCTTCTCTTATGTATCTCTTTAAAACTTTTGAAACAAGACTTAAATTATCACGGCAAAAAGATTTTAATCCGTGGGAACATGTATTTTTTTATAGAGAATTTTCAGGCATATTTCCTGTCTTATGATTAAAATAATTAAATTAAAATAATTAAATAATTAAAATAATTAAATAATTAAAATAATAAAATTAAAATAATTAAATAATTAAAATAAGCTAAAATAATTAAAACTAAAATAATTAAATGCCTATAAAATGACAATACGCTGATAATGAATCAGCAAGAGACCGGAGCTCGTAATTTTTTTCACGGGAATTTTTTTTCCTTATCAAATTTACAGCATGTATAAATAGCAGAAGGATATCTTGCATATTTAATCCGAATAGCGATGGAAATAAGGACACGTGTGACTCTGCGATTTTTCTCTTTCTCTCTCTTTTTCGTATATTTAAAACTGCGGCTATTAATAACGCTTAATCTCGGCTGAAAAAAAGGAGGCCGCAACGTTTTCCATGGGGGCCCTATTATTCGCACCGATTCGGTTTTAGGGACCCGCATCAGGGGTCGACGTTTATCCGACTTGGCGAATTTTTACGAGCATTCCGACTCTTTCTCCCTCCACGTCTCCTTTCTTTTTTTCTTTCTCTCTTTGTTTCTTTCTCTCCTCTGTCTTTTGCCGCTTGCGAAAATTACTCGGAGGGGGCAATAATGATCGCGACATGCAATCACGCGACCTCCTTCGGTGTCACTCACTGTACTGTCAGTTTCTTCGCGTGTGTTTAACGGGTATTATAACGATTATTTCTTTTTTTATGGGAAATTATGCGCGCGTCATTACGTGTCATTATAAGAGCCATTTATTTTTAAAATGACGCGAAGCTCCGTTTCGTAGATTTTATCAAGGTCGAGTGTCTTCATATTTCTGTATTTTGATGAAGTACTCGAAATTGAAAGCGTAGAAAAGAAAGCTGGACGTACTTCTTCCCGTTTCTAAATTTCATAAATATTAGAGAATATTAATTTCCTATATTTGTAAGACACTAATTATGCGGTGAATATGCAGTAAAAAACGTACAACTTATATGTTGTTATTTTTATAACGTTTTCATGTGTTACATTTATGTCACCTTTATAACTTAATACTTTGTATATGTCTCTCAGAAATGGAATATTATTTTCAACATAATCATTTTAAATTAACATGTCTCAAAGTCAGTTTAACATTCTAAGAAAAGTTTCAATAAATCTTTAAATAATCTTGAACTTTGACATACAAAATAATCAAATGTTTTTATTGCAAATAATTAAGTCAAAATAATTACTGTTTTATGCTAATTTCCTACAATAATTCTTACGAGTTATTGCAATTATTTTTTCATGTAATTTTTAATTAATTTGTACGTTATTTTTACACAACACTTAAAATCACAATAACAAAAAGTAAATGTAAAGCATTGTGTCAATTGTTTAAGATTTTTAGTTTGTCAATAAGTAGCATACGAATGACTTATTTTAATGTAAAATTTAGAGGACTTTCTGGGACATGTGCAAAATGTTAAAATGACCATTTTATTTTTTAATTTTTACATTTATTATTTTTTGTGAAATTGATAATGGGAAATGAGGATTTTTCAAGGGATTTTTCGTTTCAAATATCAGGACTTTTTAAAGCAGATTGCCCGATAAAACCTCTCAATTCGAGCGCACCTTTAGAAGCGTGAAACACAATGATTTTTCTACCACTTGTTGCAAGGGAAAATTAGTTTTGCCCTCCCTTGTCCTCGACATAAATGGCGGACGACGTGATAAAAAGGGATTAAGCGCGCGTTCAAAGGAGCTCTCTTGATTCTCTCCATTCGAGGAACTCCGTACTATCGTTATTGGAACCTAGCAAAATACTTATTTTGCAGCTTCCTCTTTTTACGGCGAACAACATCCCCTCATCCTCCTCTCGTTCCCCGAAGCTACGGGGCAAAATAACGATCGTTCCTCGGTCACGATGCACTAGTCGACCATTACTTTTTTTTCTCCAGTACCTTCTCGAAATTCGAGGGCCTGAAAATGTCGGATAATGGCACGGATACCTCCGGTTTCAATATGTAGGGTTGCACGAGATACCAAGATTAGTCTTGATATTGTCTTGTCTTGTTTTGAATTTCAAGACAAAATCAAGACAAGATTTTTAATTAGTTATCAAGACTAATACCAAGACTAAGACTGTCAAGATTATTAGTCTTGTCAAGATTATTGGTTCTCAAAAAAATTAAAATATTTATATTTCTAAATGAAAAAAAAATCACTATATACGAATTTAAAAAAATTTTACTCAATAAAAACATTTATATTAATAAATTTAAAAACATTTAATATTAATACAATATAACATTTTTATAAATTAGAAATCAAACTCGCAAATTTTAGACATTAAAGAGTAGTTCACCCAGGAATTGATGCACATTAGTGCTTTTAAAGATTTATTTCGTAATCTGGTTTTATTTTTTAACATAGTCAGAGTTCCTATGAGAAAAATCTTTCTACTGGCACGGACAAGGCAGTTGAACTTAAAATGTCTCGAGCCATTTTTGACAATGTGGGATAAATATGAACCTGATTTTTTTACCACTCCAAAATATTTATATCTGCACATTCCCTTGGAGCCTGCAAATAGTTATTAATTTCTGTTTTCCATGAAACAGTAAATGTTTCTTTATGTAAATAGACGGCATTTATATCGATTACATAGTAACAATTATAATTAAAATATAATACAATAGTAATAATTATTTCAAATTATATTACAAAAATTATGTTAAATATTATTTAAATAATTTTTTAATATTAGATAAGAAATTGTTAATAAAAGCGAGACAAGACAATACAAGACGAGATTTTTGCTATCAATATTCATTCAAGACCAAGACGAGATTTAAATTTTTGAAAATTTTCAATACCAATACAATATTTTTACGAATATTGTCTTGTCTTGGGTCTTGTGCAACCCTAAATATGTGCAATTTGCCGCCTGAATTACGTTCTCATGAGAGGCTCGCGTAGAGATCCCAGGATGCGGAGGGCCGTTTAGGCTGATTGCCTAGGGTTATTGCTTAGATAATGCGCTTCGCGATGCACGGTCGCCGCACTTAATCGTGGCCATTGAGGCATTGTTTGCGGATAGCTACTATCGTCACTCCCGCCGGTTTCGCCTGTCGTGCCTACAGCCGTTTTGCATTCGATAACGATGCTACGAATGAGCGAGCGAGTCCGCCTGAAGCGGACCTAAATTTACGAAACGTGCGTGCGATAACGGCCGACGTTTTTATGGCCCGCATATGTACGAAACTTTGATGTTCTCATGAAAAAAAAGAAAAGAAAAAAAATTACACTCAGCGACGAAATGTCGGTCTCGCGACCGCGTTGGTCTTTTGACAAATTCTCGTATTTATATAACACGAATCTCTCTAATTCGGGGGTATTTTCCTAAAATATTTCGCGCCGGAGACATTTTTCACCGCAAGATTAATATCATAATCTAAAATTTACGATAAAGTATAAGACGGTATATTTATTATTAATTTATTATTATTTTAATTTATTATAATTTATTATTATTATTATTAATTTATTATTAATTTATTATTATAATTTATTATTAATTTAAACATGTAATATTGATTTATATATTAATTGAAGTGTTATTTATTCGTAGGACTTTGGGAAACCTGCCACGAGGATTAATCGAAAATACAGTTCGGAAGACGAATTATTTCGCAATAACTTCTAGTCCTAACGCAAGTAAGAAATTGACTCATTACTCACATCTAATAATATATTAACATTAATATCGTGTTCATAATTACTTCGATTCTCCTACGAATGAGGTAATCTGTTGATATGAGGATCTCATTGTCAGAACGCGTGTCTCAAACACGCACGTGTCAATCCTCTCGGAGGAGAGAGAGGGAGAGAGATGGATGGACAGAGGCGGAGACCGACCCAAGATCTGACGGGTCGATGTGTTCCGAGTGCGGTTCGAGATTATTGATCATTGCTGCATCCGATGCACCCCTGGTTTGCCGCAGGTGAACTCGCCAATTCACCATCGCGCATCCGGTCTCGGATTTTTCGCGTCGAAGGGAATACGAGCGTCTTTACGATTTACTTTACGGCCCATACTCTCTCGTTATCCCTCTAGTTCTCCCTTGGCAATTTTTACCTCTCCCCTTCGCAGTTTGTCCCGGGAAATGAGAAGACGAGGTAGTAACTATGTCGAACGGATGTTGGAGTAAAATGCAAATGTAGTAGGATGAAAGTATTTTTGAATTATTCTGATGTGTACGGGAAATATATAGGAGATACTAAAGATACAAGAGATTCATATTACATAATTATTTAATTATTAGAATTTATTTGGATCGTACTTTTTTCAATCTGACACACGCAAAATATTTAAGAGAAAATGCAAGACAGTTACATTAGGATTGTGTTGCATAATTACATAATTATAAAATTTAATTTAATTATAAAATTTATATTAATAATAATTTATATTAATAATAATTGTAAAATTTATATTAATTTATATATATTTATATTAATTTATATTAATTTATATTAATTTACATTAATTTATATATAAATTTAATTATGAAAATTTAATTAAAATTATTTGGTTAATTTTTTCAATCTTATTGACGAAACGTAGCCAATTCTTTTACACTTTTGCGGACACGATGTCACATGAATGTTTGATGTTACGTGGATGGGCGCTTTAATATCGGATCGTTCTCGCCACGAGAGTCACCCCGATCCATTTGATTTGCTTGTGTTTTGACGCACGTACGGCCGGCTGTGTACAAAATGAAAAATGCAAAACCCGTACGGGAACGTGACGACAAACGCCATATGTGCAGTAAGCTGCCTTGATATTTGTGTTAGTGCAGTGTCAGTAACGTCTGCAAAATTAATGCGAGTGTTATAATACGCGTGCACGTGTGTGTGTATATGTATACATAGGGAATTATATTAATTGAAATTTTGCGTTTGCATGAAGCAAAATAATTTACTGGAAATTTAATAAAAAGGATAATAATATTACATAATTTAATAAATTTTATAGAATAAAGAGGAAAAATTTATATATGATTTGCTTAATTCAAGCATCCCGAAATCTCACTAGCTTGGGATAAATTTGATTTTAATGAGTTTATAATTATATAGTCACAGCAAAGTAATGTGCAATTATACCTTTTTAGATAAAGCGAGACATGATGATTATATTTCCGAATTATATATTACATAATATCGATGTAAATCACGAAAATTGAATTATCGGGTTATTCCCTGGTGACTATCGCTTTCGTTACATCTCTCATCGCGCTCAATATATAGAGTGTTTTTTAATAAGTGCGAAAAATTTTAGATGATTCTTTGTCGAAAATTAAGGGCAGTTTTTCAAATAAACATATACTCTTACATCTCATCCTGTGGAATTACACTCCTACAAAAATGGGGATAAAAATTAGATTTTTATTTTTTTCTCAAATTTGGAACAAATTAAAGAAATGAAATTAAGTGGATATTTTTTACTAGTAAAAAGGTTATTTATTAATATTTTTTTCAGCCTCCCGTATTGTTATAAAGAGATGAAACTAGCAATCCCTATTCAATTTATTTATATATAACTTTTAAACTTCAATTTATTTATATATATATAGAACTTTTTAATGGACCAGAATATGATCATCTAAAAATTTGCATTAAAAAGTTTGATTTATTTAGAAACTTTTTTATTTGTTTTATTTTTTTCATAAAATCAATAGCTTTTAAGAAAAAAAATAAATAAAATACGATATCGTGCACAGCACGATACTAAATAGTATAGGTCTCGAATCACGAGAAATTAAATTTTAAAATAAAAATAAAATTAGAATAAATGTTGGGACAAAAACAAAATTATAATAAAAACCAAAAAAATAAATAGAAAAACCCCCCTTAATTTTCGACAAAGAGTCATCTCCTAAAAATGTTTCGCACTTATTAAGAAACGCCTTTAATAACGTATTTATCAAATTCATATTAATTCAATGGAAATTTAAATAGTAATTTTCCGCATAAGATTAAAAAAAATTTCACCAATAGCGTACGTGACAAAATGTAATTCTCGGCAAAAGACTCAATTACCTAAACTGCAGGGATTAACGGTTCGTTCTCTACTCCGTTTACCTCGTTTTACCGCAATCGCGTCGCACCCACACACGTTCATATACATGTACACGTGCGGCCGAATTTCTGAATGCCTCTCTCTCTCGGCACACGTGACGTTCTCTCTTCAATTGCACACGAATGGCAGAAACGCATCTGGTCGGGTTGCGGATTCGCGCGAGATCTGCCGGATATATTGATCGAGTTGACCGATGGACAGAAGAGTCCCATGTATACTTTCCATCCCCTCATCGATCCATCATTGTTTCTCTCTTTCTCTCTCTTTCATCTTCTCCTTGTTCTCCCTCGCAGATGGAAAGCCGGGGAGATCTTAAGGATATATTGGAGATATATTACAATCAATGAGATCGCCGTGAATTTTTAATTTAACATTCTTAATAACATTCTAAATCGTCATGAATTATTTCAAATTTTTTTATTTGCTCCTTTAAAAGTTATTAATTTTTTAATTTTGCGATTTTAACATAGGATCTTATGTAAACGTGCAAGAGACAGGTAATAAATTATTTACAAACTATAAAAAAACGATAAAAATTTCATTTTCTAATATTATATTCTTCGTACATGTAAAAATGTTCCCACAAAATTTTAAAACGATTTACTTGCTCGTTTTGAAATTATTATTAAAAAATAACTGTGATTATCGATTTGACGTAATATTGATGATAAAACGTAGCGACATTTTCTTGGAAATTAAAACCTATTTATATTAAAGAATATTTTGAAGTATGATTTCGTGATTTTTAAAAAATTTTTGATCAATTAGAATTCGTATTCTGCCCAACTTTAATTTTTTGATTTTTTTTTGGATTAACTTTTGAGACAGACGGTACATCCAATACATTTTTAAGGATGTATTGGAGATATATTACAATCAATGAGATCGCTGAATTTTTAATTTAATATTCTTAATAACATTCTAAATCGTCTTGAATTATTTCAAATTTTTTTACTTGTTAAATTAATATTTAATAATCTTTTCAAATCAGAAAATAAATAAACCATTTGACATAAAGTAACTGGAAAGTTTTATGCAGTCATTAATAATAAAATAATAAATTCTGATGCGCGCAATGATACATAAATTATCTTTAGATACGTTCAGACATATTCTTCTCTGTGAAATTAAAATATAATTCGTAAATTTAGAATTGAGTAATAATAGAGAGACGATATATGAGGGACAATTTATTAAATTGCGAATTTGCAAGAATCGCGTTGCAACAAAGTAAGTAGAAATCTAAAGAGATAGTCTTCCCTCTCAAACATATAATACATTTCTCAGATAACGCTTCTGTTAATTTGAATACATTTATTTTGTAGCGAGTTAGATATTTCACGATATCAACAGACGGCATTCGTGACTCGTGACTTTGCTAGTATGTTCTTGTGTACGTACACGTCATTGTTGTCATGACTCGTGGCCTGGGTTATTCGTTCCGCGAGACTCGGGTGAACCGGCAGCAACGCGAGGTGTTCCTGCGTATTTTATCTCGAAACGCGATTATTTCGCGTATTATTACGCGTATTTGCAATTATCAATTCGTGAGATTAATAATGTGATTATGCCGCTGTTAATTTTAAAGTCGTTGACGAAACGTCGGGCATCAAACAGCTGATTCGAATATTATTACGATAACGTGCGCTTATTTATTAATAATAATGTTAGAAATGGTATATGAATTGGATTTTTTCGGTGTTGAACTGATCACTAATTTCGCGTAATCGTGTGTTTTCTCAATAATATTATATAATTTTCGCAATTTAAATTAATATATTACGCCGTGAGTGAGATTAAGTGTGAAGTCAAGTGCGATTCTAGTTATTACGCGTATCATTTATTCAGTATCATTGTATCGAAAGTGTTTTTGTGAATGTTGAGAAGAAAAGCGATCAAAAAGATGAGTAAAAAAAGGAGAAGGAGGTCCTCGAAAAAGCACCGGGCACCGGAGCAAGGTTAGTGATTTAAAATTTTGTTAAATCGTTATTTTTTAAATTAATTGCTTATAAAATAATATTTATAATATTATTTTAATAAAATAATATTATTAAGGATGTATTGGAGATATATTACAATCAATGAGATCGCCGTGAATTTTTAATTTAACATTCTTAATAACATTCTAAATCGTCATGAATTATTTCAAATTTTTTTATTTGCTCCTTTAAAAGTTATTAATTTTTGAATTTTGCGATTTTAACATAGGATCTTATGTAAACGTGCAAGAGACAGGTAATAAATTATTCACAAACTATAAAAAAACAATGATGAAAATTTCATTTTCTAATATTATATTCTTCATACATGTAAAAATGTTCCCACAAAATTTTAAAACGATTTACTTCCTCGTTTTGAAATTATTATTAAAAAATAACTGTGATTATCGATTTGACGCAATATTAATGATAAAACGTAGCGACATTTTCTTGGAAATTAAGACCTATTTATATTAAAGAATATTTTGAAATATGATTTCGTGATTTTTAAAAAATTTTTGATCAATTAGAATTCGTATTCTGTTCAACTTTAATTTTTTGATATTTTTTGATATTTTAACTTTTGAGACAGA